ACCGAACATTAAGAAAAAAGTTCGTCATGTTATACGAAAAGTAAAAATGAAGAAGAGAATACGTCCAAAAAAGTTGGACCGTAATCGACGTAGAGGTGGTGGTATAAAAAAAGCAAACCGTAATATTAAGAGAAAATTACATCGAACAAAACCAAATAAGAAAAAAATTGAACAAGTTCGACGTAAAAAGAAAATAAAAAAACGTACGAAGAAGAAGAAGAAAAAAGTTAATGTAAAACGATTAAAAAATACTAGAAAACCTAAAACCAAAGCTACGATTGAAGCAGAAGAAATTCCTGTTATTAAAGCATCTGTATGTACATCATTGATTTATATCTTAATATAGATTACATATCTATTGATAGGCTATTATCCTAGGTAAGGTGCTTGGACAGGGTGGATTTGGAAAAGTTGTTGAAGGTAAATTTCAAGGTCGAACAGTTGCCGTTAAAATTCCTTTACGTAAAGAAGATTTCGAAGAAGCATTAATTGAATTTAAGAAACTACGAAATTTTCGTCATCGAAATATTGTTGAAGCTATTGCTTATTGTAAAGAACCAGCTATGTTTGGTAAGATACTGAATTTAGTCTCTGTACTATTATTCAGTACATTCTATGAATATTTTAGTTATGGAATATATGGCTGGTGGAACATTAAATAGTTGGCTACATGATGGTAATAATAAATATACACCAATGAATTGGTTTCAAGGCCTTGCATTGTTAACTGATATATCGCGTGGTGTAAAATTATTACATGATACATCATTACTTCATGGAGATTTATCATCAAATAATGTTTTACTAACACGTGATCATACAACAGCAAAAATATCTGATTTCGGTAGTGCTCAATTGATAGAAAAATATATTAATGCATCATTGGCTGGTCAAATTGATGAAGCTGTTGGTGCATTTCGATGGATGGCACCACAACGATTACGTTTTTCTAAACCAGATAATTATTCTGATGTATGGTCATATGGTTGTATACTTATTGAATTTTTAGCACATCCTCGAAAAATACCATTTGCAGCAGCGGGTACTGCTCAATTAATTGCTAAACTTGAGAGTTATATTGAAGGCGATATAAGAGATTTACGTATAGATCTTGGTGAAATAGATCCAGATGTTCCACCATTACTTCAAGATTTGTAAGATTTTAATATAAAATAATTCTCTTAATATCGATTGTTTTAGAATGTATCGATGTTTAAAAGCAAAACGTGTGGAACGACCTGATTATGGAGAAATTGCTGATAAAGTATTGATGATAATAAACTATCATTTTCTTTATCTCTTATTTTAGCTTGAATATATACATAATTGGGTGGCAAGAAAACATAGTAATAGTCATAGTAAATTCAAAACAAATAATAAACGTGTGCATTCATCTGATATTCGGACTTGGCGTTAGATAATTCAAATGAAAACATTGAATGAATGATTCGTTTACACATGAGACGAATATATCAAGATCGAACTGATGCTAATCATCTAATTTTATTGCAATTTTGTATTGTAAACTATTGAATCACAAATACTTTTTATTTAAATAAAAGATTATTTCATTTTTGAGAGTGGAATTGTTTTTAATGAGTGTTATTGAGTTACAAGGAAATAAAAATATGAGGAGTAGTAAAGAATAGAACATGTTGAGTTCAATTGATCAAAAATACGAATGTCTACTTATGACAATCTCACGTTTTTCTCATCTTCTCTGTGTACCTATTTCGGAACTTAATTTTAACTTTTTCATTTAAATACTAGAAATTTGAGGTATGAATGAAGATTAATAAAAGGAAATAAAATTTATAGCAATATCAGTTCGTTCAAGAAATGGCTATTATAAACTCAACTGTAAATACTTTTGAGAAAAAAGCATTTTATTCTCTTGAATCTATGTTGTACTATTGGTGAGTTAAATTGTGTATTACCTTATCAGTCAGCGTTATCATTACATTTTTATTATTTACAGAGTTGTTCTGTGTACGTGTGCGCAAGTTACAATAAACTAGAATTCAAACGTAAGTAACAAAATATTTTTTTATTTATTTATCGCTTATTTCTCTTGATTTCTTTTTTACAATTTCAATATTCCATTTCACAGTTTCTATATTAGGATGGGTTGGGGGTAGTGTACGTTGCCATATGTCCAGAGCACGTTCAAAATATGACAGTGCTTTCGAATAGTCTTTCGTATTGTAATACACCATACCGATGTTGCTGCATGAATTAGCCAAATCGGGATGATTTGAAGGAAGAGTTTTATGTCGAATTTCAAGTGCTTTTTCATAGAACGAAAGTGCTTTCGAGTACTCTCCCATCTTTTCATACACACTACCCATGTTGTTATAAGAAGTAGCCAATGAAGGATGATTTGAATGAAGAGTTTTTTGCCAAATTCTAAGTGCTTTTTCGTAAAATGAAAGTTGTTTCGAGTATTGTCCTATGCTGCCATACACCAAACCGATGTTGTTGTATAAAGTAGCCGAATTAGGGTGATTTGGAGCAAGAGTTTTTTGATAGATTTTAAATGCTTTTTCGTAAAGCGAAAGTGCTTTTGAGTACTCTCCCATCTTGTTAGACACCAAACCGATGTTGTTGTATGACCTAGCCAATGAAGGATAATTTGAAGGAAGAGTTTTTTGTTCAATTTCAAGTGCTTTTTCGTGAGATGAAAGTGACTTCGAGTACTCTTCCATGTTGTCATAGATCCGACCGATGTTGTTATATGAAGTAGCCAAATCAAGATGATTCGGAGGAAGAGTTTTTTGTCGAATTTCAAGTGCTTTTTCGGGTGTGGGTGTGGATTTATCTTCTCTTCACCCAAATCCTCGTGCTCTGGTCCTTATAATAACTGTAGTAACCGTAAAGCTACATCATACATTTTCTGTTTCTTCATACTACATTCCGTATACTCTGAAATTTTATATGTAGTCTGTCACCACCTACTATCAAATTCTGCTCACTCTAATCTTTTTCAATTTCAATTACTCGAAAATGCCATGTATACTGATATCAGATCGTTTCGTATATATTAACTGCATAATTCTAGAATTCTGAAAATTCTAAAATTCCATTTTTATTAAAATTCTAGAATTCTGCTCAGTGCGTACCTCGTTATATGAACATATTGTTACGAAGATATTGACAATGTTTTTGTTGTATGTATATGTATATGGATGAGGCTAAAGGTAAAATTCTATGAGAATTCTAGAATATTATAAGAGGATCACGTCTCTACTCATTGTTCGATAGATTAACGAGTTACTCAGTATTAAAATTATAATATTAAGTAGTAGAAATATCCGCTATTGCCAGATAAATTCAGATGATGGATACCGGTGAGACATATTAATAATATCAACATTGTCAAAACCTCTGATTTTTATCTCGTTTCGTTGTCGAATGAATGAAAAAAAACAACTGCACGCTCCAACTTTTTAGATGGCACTTACTGTAGCCCTTCAACAATGCGATTACTAAGAAAAATCCCCCTCAGTCTGCCTATTGTGATCTGTGTACTTTTTTTATACAGTAATATTAAAATAATGATTCAGTAGTAAAAGAAAATTATTTCTGGAAGAAAATAAGCAAGAAATGATTAAGCAAAAACCTACTTGATTTAATAAGTTATGTAACTTACGAATAAAAAAACAGCATTGATTTGAGAAGAAAATATTTTGAGTATGGATTAATGAGCTGAATAGGACACATCAAATGCGATTACATGAAAATAGTAAAAGTATCGACTAGGGACGGTTAGACGCCGAAAACGCTTGACATATATTTGTAGAATTAGCAATAAAAATGGTGTGAGTGTTTATTATTTCATAATCCACCAACACCCACCCACGTTCACGCCTACATTCACATCACACCCCACACCTGTCCACACCCACACCCTCAAGTCACTCTATTCATTGCTGTTTTCAGATTGAGAAAGGTATTAGCTAACTTCTATAGAACTTATATCGTTTGATATCAGAGAAACAATATGACAGCAAATGATGAACAGACATCTGTACCTACAACTTCTTCCATACGTATCGAATGGATATGGCAGTCGAATCCAGATCCGTCATCAAAGTCTCAACCCGATGAATGGAGCTATTACTCGGACGTGGAAAATCTCATTATTGAAGAGGCGTTCTTGGCCAAGCAAACTCATGTTATGCTAGACGACTGTTGCATTGATTTCGAACATGGCGTCCGAATCTCTAATTACGATGCCAACAAACAAAAGCCCCTTAAACGAGTGGTGTGCAAAAGAGAAGATAAGCATTTACGAGAAGAACATTTCATGCCTGATCCTATCGCTCCAAAACGTCCCTTCGGTGGCGAGTATGGCTGGGTTTCACCCTTCATTTTGGAAGTGAGAAAAGACTTGAATCTTGAATCGACGCAACGGTTACCTTCACGAGATGAAACAATCATCCCCATGATCGTTGAGAAAGCTGCTCTCGGTATTATTGAAGAAGGCAAGAAAATAGGAAAACTACGTGAAGGCGAGAAAATAGCTAAAATTCTGATGGAGAAGAAAGACAAAAAAGTAAAGGAAGTATGGGAATGCTGTGCCAGACTTTACACCATGGACAGCTTTTTGTACAAAAAATTGAACGAGAGTATGAGATTGATAGGAAGCGATGAACACGAAAAGGTCTGGCGAAGTAAGATTCGTACATTGGGACCCTTCTGTCTTCTTCTGTGGGACAATCCCTTAAACGATAAGCCAAGCACGGAAATGATACTTTATCGAGGAGCCAACCTGACCGACGAGCAGATCGCCACCTATATAGACTGTTCCGAGCGACCCAACGAATATCGCTCATTTCAAGCGTTTACTTCATGCAGCCGTAATCGCGAAGTAGCCGAGATGTATAGTGTCAATGCTTTATTCCTTATGAAAGTAGACTTCGCTTTTACCGTGAACCTCACTCTTTTGTCTCAATATTCTGACGAAGAAGAAGAACTTATTACTCCAGGTGTTTGTTTCACTGTTCAAAGCGTGGAGTATGACGAAAACACGAAAAAACAATTGATCTTCATACAGTTAAGACAACGCTTCAGTGGTAAGTATAAACAATTATTTCATCATCTATTTTGTGACCTGAAAAAAGTTCTCCTAAAACTTCCCATTTCGGTTTGCTTTGTGGTCCAGTCATGCTGGAGTGTCTATAGGTTCTACTAGATTGTAGCGGTCGCCAAGAAGAAGATTGCATCTGTAACCACACTGAAAAACAGCGTGCTATACGGAACTTTGTTTGTAATGAAGTCTAAAACTTTTTAAGATCCTGCACGAATCTATAACATTCTTCAAAAACTTTGCAAAGAATTTATGAAGTTCTTTGGAGGTTTCGAAAATTTCTAACGAAACTTTCACAAAAGTTTTCGATTCGTTCCAAGAACCATTTCGAATAAGGTGACATATATCCAAAGTCGAAACACTAGTTGTATCATGTTCTAGAGTAAGTCGAGGCGCATCGAATGATATATAGTGAATTTCATTTGTGTGATACTTTGAAGAAACGAAAGTCAATTTGCTGATATACATTCATGACCTAAAACATGCTTACTTACTGAGCACTGTGCTCCTTGATATTATTCAAAGTGTTCCTCGAAAAGAAATTCTTTATATACAGTTTTGTAGAAGTTACAATGGGCTACAAGCTCATGTGCTTCATATCTCTGATGTTCTATCATTGATAGGAAATATGCAAAATTTCAGTAACTAACCACCACTTGAGAGTGTGGGTGTGGGTATTTTATTATCTTTATATCCACACCCACACCCACACCCTCAACTTTTGATGATCAGAATGTCAAAATACAGTATTAAAAGAGAAAGATTGGTGTTAAAATTCGATAAAATTTCTCGACGCAAGGCTATTTTAGGTATTCAACATATACTTTGAGCAAATTTCAAATATCGCATTTTGTAGTACTACATCGCAAACAGTTCCTAAGAAAGTCTGGCGTGTGTGGGCATGGGTGTTATATCTTTTCTTTCACTCGCAACCACACCCACCCTCAAAAAATGATTGTATCCTTTCAAAACTATTTTATGCCCGCTTGTCATCTCTTTTGTGAAGTGTCGTTCGTTTAGAAATATTTTAGACGTTCAAAAGTACGCGCTACCAAGTCTTAGAATTTGTAAAAAATCCATTTTTTACTTCCCCGACAATATTATTTCCTGGAATTAATTTAAATGTGTGATATCACGATTTGGGAGGACTGTGGTTAGTAAAACCCACTGAAAGACATCGTTTGAAATGTATGATAAACTCACATTCAACTCCTTTGGAATTTCATGATTTTCTCTTGTTAACATTATTGGGACCAACAAATATGGTACTGTGTATTGAACTCTATCTAAACTGAACTGAAGTTAAAGTCAAAAAAAAGCCTTAGTCCCTTCAGACATTTAAGGCATGCTACTTTCCTCAATATTTCAAGTAGAAAAATCAAATCTCTCACACTTTTTATTCAACATTTCCATTCATATCATCTAGTTGAACTTCTCACCAAAGCCCATATCGATTTTTAAACAAGGTCTTCCTTTAAACGCTTTCTAGAATCAGACAAACGTCAACTTTCTTACACCAAAAATTCAACAACAACAAACCACATATCTGGTTACACTCTTTCTACTTATGATGATGTTATTTCTAATTGTCGCGATCATAGTGGTCTTCGTATTGATCTTCATTATGATGGGCTTGATGGTTTTGATCTTCTTCGTCGTCGTCTTGGTGATGATAGTCTTTCTTTTCTTCACAATGATCTCCTTGGTCATCTTGGTCTTCCTGATATAACTGGTCTTGATCGTGCTCCTGATTATAATGATGCTCTTCATTATGATCGCGATGGCAATTATCATCCTTAAGAATGAGAAATGTTATGTTCAACAATAGATTGAAGATTCGGCTATCAACACACATAAGCCGTTCTTTTTGTTGTTTTATGTAAGTTTTTATTCATCTCAAAAAAATAAAGGTGCAACGAGACGGATGCATATGATAATAATGGATGATAGCCTTGTAGGTGAGTGTGAAATGTAAAGATAAGAGGAGGAGTAAGTGATATATAAGTGAATAGAAATGCGGTGACGAATTTGGACTTTATTTTTTGCCTCATCGAATCTTTGATGAAAGCGATTAGGCTTTGTAGTGGCTAGCTGTTGTATCAACTGAAGATGATCGCATAAGACGAGATAAGTTGATCAATTGAAAATAGACTGATCCTATCTCTAAACAAAAAGACAAATTCAATCTGATATTCCCAACTTCTGCTTTTCAACAATCGACCTTTGAGTGTGTGTGTGGGGGGGGGGGGAGTTGAGTAGATGCGGTGGATGGCTAGGGTGTAGGTGGGTGTGAGTGTGACTCAAGCAGAGCGGTTCACACTCAGATCGACACCCACGTCTGTTACGTGAATATTTTGCAAAGTATTCTTTAAATGAAATATTTTGATTTTTGCCAAAAAACTTTCGTTTCTCTGATATACAGTAAATATAGGAGGATTGCGAGGGCTAGGCGATATGCGAAATCAATGTTTATAAAACTGTATATTACCATCTAGCCTTCTCGAGGGTAATTTCTATCAGAGAACTTTAGCGCTATGAGGACAAACGTTCAATATGAATTATTTATCAGGCAAGATATAATATATTATTAAAATTTTACAGTTAAGATTGATAAATATATGTTGAGTTAGAATATGAATAACTCTCACGTCTTCATCATGTTGAATAAGTTGGAAATATCATGCGCAGTAATATTCTATAGAGAATATTTATTGTAGATAGAAGAAAAACAAAAGTTACTGACGACAAGGAACCGTTACTTATTGTGTGAATGTATAGGTGTTGGTGGGTGGCTGTGAGAGTGTAGATTTGTTTTCTCTGATTATACCCACAGCCACAAATTAATTAGAAACTTTCAAAAACGAGCATAAAAACATGACAGTTTTCCTTAATTGGATACAGCTATTGAATTCAAAATTCGATGTATTACCATCCATCTAAAGATTTGTCTTATTATATCGATGTAAAATACGAATCTTGCTCATCTGTAAAGTCAACGAGTTTGTTCTGTCATCTTCATCCAGTCCGAAAATCGAATATAAGTAAAAAGCTATTCATTTATCTACACCCAAATCCACAGTGGTGTTTTTATTGTTCAGTCGTCTTTTTTTTACCATTACATAGAACTTATTTTATCGGGTTTCATTTCATTTTTAGAATTTAATTGTGTGACAGACGTATCACTTATGGGATAGAGGCACTAAAAATCAGATATTGACTCGTGATTGCGTCAGAGAAATGCATTAACTAATGGCACATTATGCATATCATTTGTTGTAAATATTCAAACTTGAGTCAACAACTAGAAAATTACACCGATCAGACAGGAACAAATGAGTTTGCTCGTATTTTATCATGCATTTTTGATAAAGACAACAGTTTTAATTTTTTTATAAGAGAAAAAAATGAAGACGAGGAGAAAAATAGGGAAGAAGATATTCATTTTTTCATTATTTTATAAAATAGAAAACGCTTGATACGCAACATCTATTTTATTTCATTTT